GCTCAAAGTGTCTCTTCATTGTTCCTTTCAGGGTCAAGAAGGTAGAACTTTTAAACTGTAGCATCTTTGAGCTGGAGTATTTCCTTCGTCACTAGAAAACAATTCCTGTGAAGCAAAACTGAATGCAGCTCTTCACCACGATTTGAGGAAACTGATCAATGTGTATATTTGCATGTAATAGAAAATAATGAGGCAGATCATGAAGACAAGAGAGGGCTAGTTAAGTGATTGTTAGTTAATGCAATAAACTTTAAAGACCAGGATGAGAGGGAGGGAGGGATAGTTTGCCTCTGCCCAATTCCTGCCTTGTTCCCTTAGATAGTCAATAGTGTTTGGACAGAACTGATTCTGTCCTTTTCAGTTTGCTCATTCCAGTTTCTCTTATGCTGTGCTAATTTTTCCCTTCAGGACTTGGGATTTTAACTGGTACACACCTACCCTGTTGAAATGAATTGTTTCTTACACCAATAAATGCTTTAATGATTGCTTAATGACTTCAGAGGAAGAAAGCCCTCCTGAAGATTTGAAATCTTCTCATGGTATCCAGTTGGGCCCATTTAACTCTAATCTACTTGCCAAGCTTTATTACTGGTCAATAAAGTATGTGTGTGACTAAGCTATGGAGTATGCAGCAAGTTTCAGGTAAAGTCATATGCTTTGGCACTGGTTCAGAAAATCTAGTTGCTTGTTGAACAGTACGTTACTATTCCTTGATAGCAAGAGATATCTGGAAACATGCATTAAAAATAGACTCAAAAGATTTGAGCAGGATCACTGTTAACTGCGATTATTTTGGTATTGATGGGTGTACTACCAATTTTCTGACCTCCAGAAGATGGTATCACAAATGCAAAAAACACTGCTTGTCGACCTCTAAGTCCTAAATTTACAAAATACACTGAGAAGTGTGACAGAAGTCATTTGACCAAGGCACCGTATTGCATATCTGTCTACCATGAGCTTTTTGTGCATCTCTAGCATCTTAGTGCTTGCTAGGGAAAAGAAAACCATTGAATTTTGTGGGCCACAAATAGGACCTAGTTAACTCTTCCTCTTTGGAAAACCCTAAAGAAAGGCAGTAATTTTCCTGTGGTGGTTCTATAGTTCATGTGTTTTGTCTGTGAACGCTACCTATTTGAGGTGCAAGATCATTGTGATAATCTTGTCAAGCCTGTAATGTTTTGTGCATCACACAGTCATGACTTATCCCTAAAGATATAACGGATAAGATTACAAGCAATTTGAACAGCTTTTATAAAATTTTGCTTACAGATTAGTTTTCAGAATATATTACTTGCCTGTTATGTTGAAATAGTAAGCACTGCTTTATAGGTTTTGTCATTGTTGCAGTGTGGCCAAAGGTCAAAGTAAAACGCGCAATTAGGTTGAAGAGCTAGTGTAATCAGTCCCTTCCTCCCATAAACACTTTGCAAGATCAGGAATATTTCTGTATCTAAACTTATCTTCATATCCAACCTCTGTACAATGCCCAACATGAACCTCTTTGTGTGGCTGAAATTCTTCATTCTACTTCCTTATTCTGTTAGTCATGAAAATTCCTTTCAAAACTTTATGGAAAGTATGATGAGAGTGCATGGCAGAATGAGGGACATGATCTCAGCTTCCTGAGATAAATGCTGCCTCATGTGCCAGTTTACTTTTTAAAATTATTTTGTTTAGCTGCTGCATGGCTGGATGGTCAGAAAAGTACAGATGAAAGGGAAGCTGTCTTTCTGAAATCTTTTACCTCTTGACATCTGTTTGGGGAAGGGGTGCCAGCTTTCATAGTACCTAGTCTGCTTGACTGACAGGTAAAGTGTAAGCCTAATTCATCACTTCTTTAAAAAAATAAGGCTGGCCTATTTCTTAGGTGGACTCCATGCAGTAAGGCCTTTGAACCAAACCACATGAGTAAAGGGGACTGTATTGGAAATTACCATTGATATTCAATACTACAATTTTAAAAAATTATTGTCAAATAAGGTTTGGTTTTACTAGCCAACAAACATAAAAGTGTGCTGGATGCGGACATGGGAGCATGCCCTCTGGTATTTTAATCCAGCTCTTCTTTAGATGCCACTTAGTTTGGAGTACTTCGCTGCATAAAAGCTTCGGTAATATTTACTTCAGCAGGTAAATTAATTTGTCTCCCTTTTTGATAAGGAAGAATGCCCCTATTCAAACTTGCCAAATTCAAAATGAACTTGGAAAAAGCAGCAGCAGAATCTGGATCAGTCTAAAATCAGTATGAACACAACCTAGCAGGACTTGGGAAAGAACTGGAAGACCTTTCTGAGAGGCTCTTGTTATTCTCTGGCTCCTGTACCAGACATGCACTTGGAGTCAGATGAAAGTGCTTCAGGAAGACTAGCATGCTTACCACAAAATTGGCATAATGGAACAGTAATTCTCTGTTCCTTTAGATAAAACCTGTCCATTGTGCCTCTTGCTATTGCAGATGAATACTGTAACTGCTTTTTCTGGCATGTTTAAAATACACTGTTCTTATCTGTGTCAATTACGGCTTCAAAGTCTACCTCCATCCATCATCCATTATTCCTGTCTCTTAAATTATCTGATCGTTCCCCATCATCTTCCACTTCAAGAATAACTTTTTCAGTCATCCCTTAAGAGTCTTGCTCAAATAGGCTAAATCTCAGATATCTCAAATCTCTTTTGTCCTGCCTCTTTATCCTTTCTGGTGACAAATGCTCCCAGCCTGGTATCATTCTTCTTGTGTATGCAGGCTGCCCCAGTGCATCATAAAACATTCTGGTGTGATGAGCTGCCTTCCTTTCCATGCCACATTCTGCTACCCTGTAGCTGCGTATTAAATGAGGTGCTTAGGCAAATTGAGTTAAATCCTTCATAGACAGTGACAGGAGGGGAAATTAAGCAGAAGAAAACACTAGACTTTAAAGCCTTCTTGTACAGGAGTGTTATCCATGACCCTTAGTCTGTAGTACAGCACACATGTTCTGAGTGATTTCTGAGTAAGAGCTGATATGTAAACTTTTAAATGGTACTGAATGTAATTTTGCCTGAGTCTGCCAGCAATTAAACATTTTATGACTAGTCTGTAATTAAAATAATTGCTCCTCGTCTGGAACCTGTATTTGGTAGGTTTTACTCACCCAGAACTCGTATTATGAAAAGTAGATGTGTGGGGTTTTTAAATACACACAGTGCTTAACTTTATTATAGCCCTTCAAAGATTGAATTGAAACCTCAGACACCAAAGCAAAGAGAATCACATCCTTTCCCCCTCCTGATGCGAATTCAACACTCTGCTAACTACCGGAAGGAGGCAAATGAACTCTGCATGCTTAGCAAATTCAAACCCTGACTGGTGGAAAGAAAAACCTTTATAAAAACAAGGTGCTTATGAAGAACTTGAATCCTGTCTGTGCTATAATTCAGTAACACTGGGCACTGCATCTCAAATCCTCCTGTTAATTCTGAGTGGCTGGCGAAATGCTTTTCTGGGGTCCTTTTTATTTTGAGCCATTTAATGTTTATAGATTAAAACTTGGAATTTAAAACTTGACTTATAGCGCTTGTGTTCAGTAAGTTATTTTCTCTCATGTGATTTAAAGGTTTGATTAGCTCCAAAGCAAAGTATAGTATTAAATTATTGAGGTGAACAAATTGGAGACCTCCAGTAATCTTGAGGAGCCTGAGAGCAGAAAAAGCTGAGACCAGAAAAGATGCTTTTGAATGGAAGAACAAAATAAACACAATAAACGCACTGTGGGTACAGCACGAAGGAGGGTATCAGCAGGAGGGAGAGCTCAAGATGATGTTCCTGTGCTGCACTTTTCGTCAGTGTGTGTTGGGTCATGCAGAAACACGAGTTGCTATTATGATGTGTTTTAAACCCCAAACATGTCATCTTTTTCTTAAGACTCATTTTTAGGTTCACTGCTTAATGATTTGGTTTATGCTCTAGCCCACAAAGAGTTTTTGTTGCCACAACTGAAGGGGCAGGGAACTGCTGCATGGGGACTTCTTCAGCCAGCTTTGCTGCCAGAGCCAGCCTCTTGTGGAACCATACCCCCGAGGAGTTTTGTCCTGGGATAGTTCAGTCACACTGTGTACCCAGATGTTAATATGCATCCTTCTAGTACAAACATTATGTAATCTGACTTCTTGTAAAGGCTTGCTTTCTTTCTCCTAAGTGCTTAAACACATTTTGATTGACGTGGTACAGTATATATGTCTGCTTAGACTTTGTGGCACAAAAGAGGGGGAAATACAGGAGGAGCTTCTCTTAACTGATTGGAATGTATTTTAATAATTTTAATCTATGGTGGAACATATTGTACCATTCTACTTTCGTGGACTTTAGAAGACTCATAGGATGTGGGAGTAAGATGCTTTGGTCTTGTGTGCAGAAAGTGAAGACAGATGCATATGCTATGTATATCTTCCTTAAAAGTTTAAATATTTAAATATCAATCCTTAAAGGTATCTTCCTCATATCTTATTTTTGCTCATGCTTGCTTTGAGGAATATCTTCATTATAGGATGGTGTGATAATTACTGCAAAGTAATTGGCAGCTTCCAAAAGTCTAAACGGAGATGTCTGTGTGGCCAGTGAGTAAATGGTAATTGATGAATCATCTTCCTGGCATAGTACTGGAATATCCTATGCTATTTCTGAAATGGAACCTGCATTAAATTTCCCAGAATTTGTTGGTCTTATGCTTGATGTTCTGAGGATCTCAGACAAATACACTGATAATATTCTTCTGTGACTTCACGTAGGACCATAAACAGGAGGAACTTATGAGTACAGTTAAGGATCATTTAAATATGAGGAGTAACTGCATTTCAATGGAAAGTCCAGAGGTAGGAGGGAATGTGGAATAAAAGACCCTACAATAGGCAAGGACAATAGAAAGCATTAAGCAGGAAATAGGGTATATGGTTAAGGGGGGGGGGGCACAATATCCTGAAAAATGCTATTGAAATTTTTAAATGCTTGCTCTTTGTTGCAGATTAATCAGCCACTCGATGGGGATTAACAGTGGAGCACCTCTTTGTGTCGCCTTTCCACCCCTCTGTAGCAAGAATAACAACTTCAGCACTTCTTCAATAATAATTATGAAACTGGTATTAACTGAATGGCAATTATGGATTTTTAACTCTAACTCACAGTAAACCAGCAAGCCATATGTTGAAATTCCTACCAAATAGCTTTTCATTCTTAATGTCTCGTATCTATACAAGAAGTTGCAAGATACCTGTTTGTACAAGAGGAATATAAGCATTACTTGCCTGAGGAACAGAAGCTGAAAGAGAAGACACCTTAACTTGTTCGTGGAGTTATGGTAGTATTATTTATATAGATATAACAAATATATATATTTTTTATGGTAATGAAAATGGCTCCCCAGAATGCTGACTCGGAATCTATGCAAGTTCAAGATCTACCTGTGGTACAGCTTCAGAAAACAGAAAACAAGGAGAATGAAAGTGGGGAGGAGACCATTAGTGAAGGATCCATAGACCGGATACCAATACGCCTGTGGGTGATGCATGGTGCAGTAATGTTTGGCAGGGAATTTTGTTACGCCATGGAGACAGCTTTGGTAACACCTGTATTGTTACAGATTGGTAAGTAATTCTCATTTCTGTTAATTGAAACTTTCTATATACTTTTGCATTGATTGAAGTCGGAGGAAGAGGGAAGTGGGGTCTACCAACTAAAAATACATAAGGCAAAATAGATTTTGTTTTTTTTCCACTATTAGCTATGCCACAGATTCAGCTGGACAACCATGTTGAAGTGGGAAGGATTTCTGTATTCATTCACCTTCTGTCTGATATTGCTTTTCTCTGTAAAAATTTTAACCTGATATAAGTCTAAAATTCTTTAGTAAAAGGTAAGTGTCCTAGAAACATTAGACTATAAAATATTGCAGTGAGGCTCTCCTCATTTATGAGGAAAAGTTTCATGTTACAGTACTTTAGAATTAACAGACTGGTGTTCCCTACTACTTGTGGAATACTGCATTTATTTCACCTAGTGAGTCTTTTATGTGATTGATCTGTCACATGAATACATATAAATAAGTTATGATAGCAATAACTTTAGATGGGGGTTTAGAGTAGGAGCAGACAGTGTTAAATTTTGTGGCAAGTACTGTAATTAGGTTTCCAATAAACTGCTTACAGTATCAACAGTATCTGGTGTTACCTTTATCAAATGCAGAAAATCATGTTTTCTATCAGATAGCAGAAAACATTACATGAAACAAAGTACTGGATTGTGCGTGCTTTCATGAGTGAATAAACCAACGATGTGTGTGCACTGTGTAAGTGTATATATAACATATGCATATTATGTTTGCTTTGGCTTATACATGCAGTTGTGCCTTACAGCATGCTCAGTTATGGTCAAACAGAAGCACTTGACCAATTCTCTAAAATAATGTTTATTGAATACTATTTACAGCATTATTTTAACATTGCAAGATTTGCATCTCAAATGAAACATCTATATTTTTGTATTTGATGTGACAAAAGGACAGAAGAGATTGAACTTGTGAGCGTGCAATATAAATTCTTTGGTGCAGTTTTCCTGCAGTTAATGTGCTTTCCTATGAAACTAGTCCATTTCTTTGGAATCAATAGAGGGATTAATAAGTGCAGTTAGTGCTGTGAGAGATGCTGATGAGTTATGCCTCCAAGTTTTCCTGAAAATGTTTGTTTTCAGAGCTCATCAAATGACCTTTTTTGATCTATTGGTGGCATAGTTAAAATAGATTCTAAGTCTTCCCCAAATAGAAGCTTTCTCATCAACCTGACTTGCTGAATAAAACATATGCAACTTCATCCAGGGATGTTTATAATGTCCATAACTTTTGAGGTTTTATCTTTTGGGGAAATTGACATTTTGACCTGAAGTAATTTGTACTAGCAGTGTTGGTTCAATTTCTGTCTACCATGAATATAAAAACTTGCATCCTGCTTTGCATGGAGCAAGCCCCTGGTTTTGCAAGTGACCTGCACTTTTTGGTTTGCTTTCTCGTTTGTGCTGGCACTTGGATGTTTAAAATGTTTAAAGAAACTGGCTTTACCTTACCATAGAGTAAGGTCAGACAGTATAAATAAACCATTCTCTTAATTGCTGACCAGTCTACTAGTTTACGTTTCTTTTGTGAGCTCTTTTAGCAGATCTGTTTCCTCCAGATAATTGAGAAATATCTCTTCCCTTCCTTCCCTAACCCCAGTGATCAAAATAACATTGGGATTTGGGGGAAGGAAAGAAAAGAGCTCTCACTTCTAGAAAAGCTGGCAGATCAACAAAGCAATGCAAAATGTGGGGATGCAATGGTGATGTTCCATGCCATGGAGATAAGAACTGGAGGTAGCTGGTTACAAATGTTAGCGCTTTAGGAACGAAATGAAATCTTTGTGCTCTGGCTTATGTTCCCTCAGCAGGGGAATAAACAATGTTGCATTCACCAAAGAGTTAAGTTATTCATGGGTGATTTATCTAGCTTGTTTGGTAATTACCTCTTACATGGTTCTGTTTACCTTTATCAACCTCAACATCTGTCTGCCTCAACATGAGCTATATTTATTCCTCACTGGAGGTGGTTGCATATAGCTGCTCAACTGCTGTAATATTCCCTTTGTTTCTTGATTTGGTAAAACCAATGTTCAGTTGTTTTCTGTGAGATTAAATTGGCTTGAGAAACTATTTTTGAGAAGTGGCACCTGGGGAAGTGTGGTGATTCAACCCACTAACTTTGCTTATAATAAATTGAAGAACCAGAAGCATTTTGCCTATGCAAAAAAGACTGCCTTACAGATGTATGTTGAATATTAACCATTAAGCTTCATGGTGTGTGTTTGTGTTCTTTATCTCTGAGAACTGAAATAATCTGAGATTTTTATCAGGTACCACCATTAAAACCTTAGGCATGTTAGTATGATGTTATACACTTTCTGCTTGCAGGTATTTGACTTTACTCACTGTGTACCCTGGGTCAGAGGTGTAGTTATGATTTGGCAGATGAACAACCTGTCCTACTTGTTCTGTAAAGCATGAGATTTCAGCAACTCATGGAGCTGATAGTCCTTTGGGTACTCCCTTTCCAATTCAACAGTAATTGAATTCTCAATGTGTTTTGAATTTCCTAAAGTTTTGAGTTCTTAACAAAAGAACCAAAAGCAGCAGTGAGAGCTGCTTGGATTGATGGATACTATGAATTGGAAAGGTCTGCGAGTGCCCGAGCTGCTATACTCTTACCGAAATAAGTTCTGATTTGTAATTTTAATCTTTATCTTTATTGCTATGCTTTAGATTGATGTTACATTGCCTTGCCAGAAATGCAGCTACAAATCCAGAACAGTCTTGTACTCGTACATGGGCTGTAGTAGCTTAGCAACAAGAAAAAGCCAAATATATATTACGTGTTTTTTTTATTCTAACTTGCTTTTTGATTTCTCACCTTAAGAATTCAAAATGAAGCAGCTAACTTATTTAGAAGAATTCAGAGGATATAAAAATATGCTGACTATGAGAAGAGGAGGTGTGACTCCATATGAAATTATATTAGTTGGCACTCTCACAAGTTTTGATGTCTAGAAATCTTCATTAACCTTTTTGAGACCCATTAAATAGACTGTTGCTTGCAGCCATCATTAAAACTTCACTAGAAAATAAACTGTCAGCACCTTCAGTGCTCTAGGTTTTGTTCATTGGTCCAAGGTTTGAGAAACAGAGTGATTTTGTGTTACTTTTGAGTATATTCTGTGCATTAATGCTACTGTTTGCTTCCCTTGTCACATTTCAGCCCTGTATGATAAACTCCACAGGAGCAGGACGAGGCCTCTGTCTTCCAAAACATCTGGTACTTAATGCTGTTTATCTATGAGAGGGTATTAAAATCCCTGCTGTTGTTTATAAATGACAGTGTATTTTCTTCCATCATAAAACTTGGCTTCTAAGGATGAAATCTCTAAAACTCCTTCCAGTTCATAACCGTTCATCAAAAGTTTGGATATATTTTAAAAATTATTTAGCAAGGAATTCTGAGTGAATAAAAGTGAGGAGAAACTGATGACTGGTATGGTGTAAACTTAAAGAAACTGTTAGCTTTTTGAAAAAATCTGTTCAATGAAATCACGATACATGGCTTCTGTTAATCTGAAATTAGCAAATTATATTATTTGTTAATAGCTTAAAGCGTTATTTCAGTTGTAATTCAAGCACAATTTGGGTTGTAGTGCAACCAGTAAATCCATTTTAGTTGTTCTGAAAGGTGGGATCCACATGCTTGTTTCATTAGGACTGCAGAAGAAAAAAAATAAATCTGTATTGTGACTTGGGGTGGTGGCTGCTTTTGGCATGAAAAACTTGCTGTCAGTCTAATAAATAGTGGTAGCTGTAAACATGAAGTTTCATGTTTTATATTTAATATGATAAAAACTTTGCCAAGCCTTTACTGTTGCTTCAAAGGCTCTTCCCAATGCTATTGAGTGTTTTATGAATAGTTAATAAGCACATAAGCGACTGTCAGCACCAGAACTGTTCCTCGTTCCCCTGCATAAATTAAATATATTACACTAGTGCTTTTAAAAAGAAACTATGTACATTCGCATAAGAAAAACATGAACTGTTTACATGTGCTGCTTACCTTTATAATGTCACTTAAATTGAGGGATGTTTCTCTGGTACAGTACAGGAATACCCTCGATTTTGGTACATTTCCTATCTGAGTGCCTATCTGTGATGTCATTACTTTGCTTTGTTGTGGGAGTTAATGGGCTCTTGTAGTAAACATGAGCTAGTCTACCATTAAATATTGAAGTTGGTCAGCTCAAGCTTAACCCTGAGCATGGTGTTCTTTTTAGGCAATAACTCTAAGGAATAGCATTTCTGGAAAAACTGTATTTTGGTGCTAATTAATAGATTTTAATAAAGTGAGAGGTTGAGCTAAGGAGAACAGAATACCATAGGATACTTCTCTTTGAAGAAGAAATTATTTCTCATTATATGCTTTTATATTTTATATCCTTTTAAATGAGCAAAATACTGTGGTTGCTATGTGTTTTATGTGCCTCGTATATGTAGAAAAGCAGAGGGGTTGGGCTGTCATTTCTCAGTTAAAGCATTTAGACATAATATCTCAGGAAAAAAAATTATTATCTAATGTTCAAAATCCTTCCAGCCTAAAGCTTAGCAGACCATGCTTAAAGGGTCTTGAAATCTAGTTCATGTGAAATTGCCAGTATGGAAAAAATGTGTTAAGCAGTAATTCAAACTGCTGATTCTGAGGAATCTCAAAGTGGTAGCTGAGAGGTTGTCATGCTGAAGAGATTTAATATTATGGAGTGAACTTTTTAGTATGAAGTAGTGAATCTCCCCATTGAAATTTAGTGTTGATACCTGTCTGAGAAGAATGTATGTAGGTAGAGAGGAGATTATGGAGACATATTTAGAAACCAAGCATAAAATGTTACAGATAAGTTAGCTTTTAGGTATGTTTCTTCAAAGGAATTAAGGTATCAGTTGCTGACTCAATTCAGTGTGGAAAGGGATAGTCTTCCTAAGGCTAAGCCTGAGATCAAAGGAAATCTAAAAACCTTAAAGAACTGGTGGG